TGAATGCGAGACTGCCGCTCGCATGCCATTCACATATGTGGCACGGCAGCCCTGCGAGAAGCGGGCTAGTTGGCTCGGAAAATCTCGACGGAAGTTTTGGTGACTTTGGGTCGGTTGAAAATTATGTCCTTGAAATCTGTGGATTCGTTAGAGTTTCAGTATTGATTATGAGCAATTAAGGTCTTATTCCCGCCCGTCATCTTGATCTTAGGTCGATCGGGTGGAGGTATCGAGGCTCATTGTGGCAGTTTTTTTTCTTCCCTATTTCTCTCCTTTAACTCGATCTGTAGGCGAGCTACGTAGCTGAGATGCACACACGTCGACGGGAAGTGATCAGGAACGCTAGTCAGCGACCGAGAATCGATTAGCATTTTGCAAACTTTTGAGTTGCATATTTTGGTTCCGGCTTTATTTCGATATTTAGGGCATCTGCATATGTTCGATGCGATATATAGCTTCAGCATTGAGCTCAGCAGGATTCCGTCGTTTGCTCATCTTGGTATCAGACACCGTATGCATGTCGTCATGAAAGCTTTCTATGCCCAGGGCATTCACTTTCGCAGGGCTGTGGTTCCCATCCGAGACAAGTTCTGGATCTATCAGCCAAACGTACAGGTGTTCGTGCTACATGCCATCGAGGGGGTCACATATATGCGCAGATTTTTCATTTGCTGCATACTTTGAGGGGAACAACTTTGCTTTTATGCTGACATGTGCCGCGAAAAAGGGAGAGAATTATGAGAGTTGGAATCGTAGTTGTTTCTCTGCTACTCGTGGTCGGTTTCGTTCCGCAGGTTTTTGTTTGTCTTGTACGCACATGTATAGCGGGGTGACGTGGTTGAAGGCAAAGGGTATGGCTCACTTCGTTCAGATCCTGGAGGGTGATGTGCATGATAACCAAAGTACATCATCGGTTGGCTTCGTGATTTCCTGATGTGCTCAGTTGGTTTCGGAGGGTGGTGTGGTCGTATCCGTTCTGATGCTCTTGAGGCTTTACGTGCGTGGAAACAGTTCTCGGCTGCGCAGGGGATTAAACGACGTCGCGGGGGAGGGGTGGCTATGGGTCAACGTTCGTGGCAATCTTGTTTTGAGGATTTCTTGGATTTTAGAGGGTGGGAATCCTTTTTTGCGGATGCCAAGTCGTCTTGAGAATTTGGCGCAACGCGTGTGCACGGAGAGGGTGGTCCCATATATCCAGAAGCGCTGGAAGAGGATTTAGACAACCTGGAGGAGGAGAATGTAGTCATATTGCCACTCAACAAAATCCGTGATGATGAACAGTGCCTTCAGTTTCCTGAGGCCCTTGCTAAGCTCTCGAAAAAGGATCGCGATGCACAGTGTGAGCTGCACGTAGTGGGACGTGCGTTATGGGGGCGTTGGTCTGCAGATTATAAGTGGGTCTCTATTTGTTATCTATTGGTTGTGCGGTGTCTGGCGTGCGTTTAACGTTGCGTGCCCGTTGAGGGTCGGTCGGATTTTTAACGCGTTAGGCGGCATGGCGTACATGCCTGGTGTCAGGCCTGTTTGCAAAAGAAGATGCCTCTTCCCGCGTGCCGAGAATTTAGCGAACGAGCTGATTGTTTTACAAACGAAGCACGACAGGGCAGATGTATTATGACGGACTGCATGGAGCAGGACTTGACGTATCAGTCTCTGTATCGCGCGGTCTCCGTTCGATGTAGCTTCGCAGTGTGGGTGTCTCTGCAGATGGTGTTGGCAGCAGTTGCTGGATGCAGCTCGGGTTGCTATCAAGGTTTGATGATGCAGCGTGTCTTCATTTTCTTTGGATGTTTTTCAGTCGGCATTCACTCTCGACCCAATCGCTACGGTGACATACTCTGAACTCTCAGGTGCAGATTGTCTCATCAATTCGTTACCACGACATCTTGACGCATCCTTCGTATATATTGTGTTCTATGCTCATGCTCATGCTCATGCTTGTGTGTGTTTGTGTGTGTGTGTGTGTGTATGTGTGCGTGTTGGTGTTTGTGTGTGTGTGTGTGTTTGTGTGTGTGTGTGTGTGTGTGTGTGTGTGTGTGTGTGTGTGTGCGTGCGTGCGCGTTTTGACCTCGGGCATCATTGAAATCAGAGTTGCCTGGCTGCCCGCCTAGCAACCTGCCGCCGCGTCGTGTGCTGCTCGACTTGGCCACTTGGCCTGCTCAGTCGCTCGCGAAGCACGCAAACACAAGTGCTGGCGGTCTACTGCTAGCGCCCGCATCCCTGCTTGCTCTCTACGAGCAAAAAGGGCTTCCGATCAGAAGCCAGCAGTGCAGGGTAGCCCCAGGGCTCTTTGGCGCCGGTCCCGCTTGAAGCCTGCAATGTGCCCCGAAAGCGTCTTCCTACTCGTTCCCGATGCGTTTGCCGTGGGCCTTTTCGCAGCTCTATCCTCGACCTTGCAAGTCGAGCTTGTATGCCCCCCCGACGTCCTCTCACGCGTCGTTGCAGGCGTTTCCAAGTTTTGGACGCCGCGAATTCCCTGGTGCTTTCGGCGAACACCGCAGGCATCAAACCGAAGTGCATGCTTGGGTTTCCAGCTGCACGGGGGTCCTATGCTGAACGGCTAAAGCGTCAGCAACGGCGTTGACGACCACGTGGTTATACATTGCAGGGGTTGTCCAGGTGAGCTTCCCAGCCGCCCAAGAGCTAGCTCTTTCCAGAACCTTCCGAATAGATAGATGTCGGGGGGCATCGGGGATATGTGCTCGAGTTTCCCAGGCGGAGTTTTCAGAGCAATTCTGCCGGGCGGTCGAGTCACGCACGTGGGCTCTCGATTGCTCGAACGTTCCAGACTGGTTTTTCGCTCGAAACAGCCTTGGTAAATCGCCCCGGCAGAGTTTCACAGGGGGGTCTGCCCAGGCGGGTGGCGGGTTTCAAAAAGGGGGGTTTGGCGGGGTCCGGGGGGGCGCTCGGTCTCGGGTGTTTTTCGCGAGGGGCCAGGACTCGCGAAATTTCGCGGGAGGTCTGGGCTCTTGCAAATTCTTCGAGGGAGGCCAAGACTCTCGCGATTTTTTTTTGGAGGCTCAGGTTTTTGTGAATTTGCCGCGGGAGGACGGCCAATTCGCGATTTTTCAGGGAATTCCATGATTTTTTTTAAAGGCGGAGGCCGAAATTATCTTGAACTGGGAGCGAAGACTCGGACCTGGCCTGGGCCCCCGCCTCAGCCCTGTCCCCAGCCCCGATCTCGCGGAACGCGGCCGCGGCACCAGTAGGGAGGGTCAACAGTGGGTTTATCGATTAAGATGAGCATGATCGTGGCGTACCTGCCAACAAGTTTTGGAGATTGAACGTGAGCCTGCATGGCACGAGCAAGCCTTAGGTCTTGAACTGTTGTCACAACTTCTGCCCTGAACACGTATTGCCCCCGTATTTTTACAAAGGAAAGCGCGGTATTCTCAACCATTGTGTGCAGACACTTTTTTTTATTATGCCGCGCAAGTGTATCAGATTGGCCGCTCGCGCTACCTGGTGTCTCCAGTGGTGCGGCGAAGAGCTTTGGAGGCTGCAGCACTCATGCTGGGGTCCCCGTCGGTCCTGACGGCCTGCGCCGTGAGCACCTCGAGGCGACTGTCAAGACGCGAACGCAGCGAGGCAGGGGAGGCCGCAGCTCTGGACCTCTTCCTGGTAGCTGGCAAATTGATCTGCGCGAGTTCACTGTGCGCGAGGGAGGTGGCACCAGCGCGCTAGCGCGCGACGTCGGCTTCGCGCCCACGATGTTGGAGCCCGAAGTCGTCGGCGACGCGTCTCATATGCACCTGTGGCTAGGCACCCTGCACACAATCTAACCGCAGCAGCAGGACCATCTGTACCATTGACGTGGCGACCTCTCAGCCATGCAAAACGGCTTGGAGAGGTTGCGCAGGGCTGGAAGTTGCGTTCTCGAGGCACACTACCCTGGGACACCGATGCAGTTCCGCGAGGGGTTTCAACTTGCGGAGAGACCCATCCGCCGCCGTCAGCTTAGAGTGTTTGATGCGTTCAAAAGCCTCCTGGAGGCAGAGGTGCACGAGCCCCCTGGATAACCCGATCGCATTGGCCCACGCCGGCATATTGAGTCCAAACGAGCTTGTCCTTGTTACGTCCCGCGGTGGCCCACCAGTACGGCCCAGGATGAGCGGCCTGCCACCTGGAGATTAGATGCTTGCGAAACCTGTCCTGCATCCTAGAGAGGATGTGTATGCGCGCGGTGGAGCGCAGCCCCCCGTCACGTTTGGCATGGAACACCACCTTGTTGTATCTGGGCGGCCAACTGCTTAACGCTTCAACCTCGACCAAAACGTCGATGAAGGCTTCGAACTCAAGATCGGACAGGCCTGGGAGTTGCGTGGGGGAAAAGCTGGTTGAAGCCACAGCCCGACCTCCTGGGGAAACTACGAATGACATCTAAAATTTGCTCCAAGGTTTGCCTTTCAAGCTTGGATCTTCAGTGTGATGGCCTCTAAATGACATCGTGCTGAGCTCGAACTTTTCGCCACCCCAATTATTCACTAGCAAATAACCCCACTTCTCCGTGAAGAGTACATGGCGCACTCGTACTGAAAATACTGCTGGCGTGCCACGGAGTGTCTGGACGAGAGTATGCAAAACAACTGCAGCCCTGTCTTGGCTTTGTCTCTTGGCCCAGTCGCGCCAGTCTCAGAGCTTGTCCCTCTCAACGGTACGATGGGTCTGCATGGCGACCGAGTGGTGTGTGCTGCCGCTGCCGCGAGCCCGTATGACAGCGAAGGGGCAAACTGCAGCAGAGCAATCCAAGGCTTGGCGTGGTGCTCTCCAACCTTGCTGCTACTAGACGCTGCGACTGCTCCTGCCTCCTCCTCCTTCCTCCTCCTCCCTCCTCCTCCCTCCTCCTCCTCCCTCCTCCTCCTCCTCCTCCTCCTCCTCCTCCTCCTCCTCCTCTTACCGGTCTGGGCGCAGCGGGCTCCCGGTGGGCCGTGCCCCCCCCGTTCCGCGGGGCCCATCGCGCCCGTGCCCCGCCGGCCTGGCGACCCGGGAGGGGGGGTGCCATGGAGCCTCCGGCG